ACAAAAAAAAAAAAAAAAAAAAAAAAAAAAAAAACAAAAAACCTTTAATTAAATTGTTGCTTTAGGCCTCAGATTATCTCGAGTCAGCCCTAAACCATCTATGTTTAATATCATCATCTTTTTTTCCCTGACTAGAAAGAAAATGTAAATTGAAGTGAAATCCACATTTTGACACAAGCAAAACTGAATTGTGTAGGCGTGCATACACACATTTTATGTTGAAGATATAAATAATAAAGTTGTTCCTCATATATTTCAATCATTGGAAGTCCTAATATTAACGGTTTAAATTTATTTTCAGAAATGAAATAGGGAAATTATAGAAACAAAATAAAGTGCTCCGATTGACAGACTAAATTATATAAAAACCAAAAATATTATATTTTTTTCCAATTGCAAGCGTTGTCTATAGAATATTATTGATGAAACCCATTGATCCTGCATAAAAGAAAAAAATTCAAAATTATACCTTAGATTGACTATGTCACAAAAGAGATTAACTGGATTAACCATGCTATAAATTAAAAAATAATATGTTAGCAAAACTTGAATAGAAAGATTTATTTAGTAATTTTCATCTCAAAAAGAAAGGAAAAAAATTAATTTTTAAATAAAATATTTTTAAAAAATATTGAACTTTGTAAAAAGTCTTAATTAAAATTGTCACATTAGGCCTTAAAATTAACTCAAGTCAGTTCTAAACAATCTATGTTTTAATATCATCATCCTTTTTATCATGACTGGTAAAATATTTTTATATATATATATTTTTATTAATGGAAACATAAAAGAAGGAAAATGTAAATTGAAGCGAAATCCGCATTTTATATTGAAGATATAAATAATAAGATTGTCCATTTCTCTAATAGTTTTTAGATGTGGTAATGATGAACAATTTAATATGGTAATAGTTCATGTAGTCAAATTCCACTGTCTACCCAATAATTACGATACTAGCATATCTTTAACCCCTTTAAGAAAAAAGAGTTTGGCTTGTGTTTGAATATATAAATAACGGTGAATTATAGCCATAGTCCCTCAAGTTTGACACCTATTTCATTTTAGTCTCTATTCTTCAAATTGTGCCAATTAAGTCCATTAAGATTCAATTCCAAATCAATTTAGTTCTTGAAGGAAATACACAAATAAACTATAAACCCAGAAGTTCTATTAATTACTATAAGGCTCTATTTCCCTATTAATATAATTATAAAATCCATGTAAAATTGTTTAAGTTTAGAATTGGTGTCAGATTCTGGTTTCTCAGCCTTGCCAATATAAATACATGAGTATTAAATATACTAAAAAAATCAAATTAGATAATTTAAATAATAACACTTCACTACAAATGATTAAAAAAAAAAATAACGCCCAATTAGTACACATTAATATGTGTTTGGAAGGAAAAAGATTAGCTACACACCTAACCTCTAACCTTTAGTATAGTGCACAAATGATAATTGAACAAAATGATACTATAATCAGGTTATTAAAAGAACTTAATGAAAATATTAAAGAAAAACAATTAGAAATTATACACGAAGTTCGAAACATCTACTATTAGATAAATGTAAGAAATTAAGTATTGTAGAAAATAAGTGAAAAAACACTACAAATAATTGTTATCCTTACATTTACCTTTTGAATTACTACCACTAGAAAAATGAAAAAAAAAATATTAATAATAAAAAAAAGGTGTGCGTGATAAAATAAAATAAAAAGGTATTTTTATAATATAACAAAACTTAAGACGCAAGAATATAATAACTAAAATCTTAAGGTCCATATTGTAAAGCAAAAAGACCAAAGTGGAACAAGATAGAAAGGATCAGAATCAAACTGACGAAATTCAAAGTACAAGGGCGAAACTAAAACTATGAGGAAAATTAGCCCTGTAAATAATAAAGTTATCAGTCTCCCAAAATGCTTAACCTTTTAAATGAGTTAACAGTTAACAATTTAACATTACTAATAGATATGTGAAACTATACATAATGATTTAAAAAAATGCATATAGACCCTCTAGGTGAAAAATAAGACACTCACTTTGTGTCAAAAAAATGTGAAAATATGATTTTAAAAAAATTGATTATATGTAACCTCTTTTTTAGTAGATAGAATTTAAAAGTAACATAAAGTCGGTTTGTTCAGTGTAATTTTAATCAAAAGCAAAAGTTATTAAAAAAATTAAAAAGCTAATATAAAATGTCAAAAAAAAAAATTTCTCATACTTTTACATATTCTTTCGTAAAAAATTAAAATTTCATTCTAAACATATTAATTTTTTACGTCATATTCTAGTCAAAAAGCTAAAAAAAAATTACCAAAAAACCTGTTCCCAAACTACGTCTTAAGGGCATATTTGATTAGGTGAATTAGAATATAAGATTGGGATTATTAATCCGTCAGTCTAATTATCCTATATTTGTTTTAATATTTTGGTTTAGGATTATTGATCCAATGGATAATTAATCCAATAAATTTGTAGAATTATTACTAATGAAATAGATGTGAGATTATTAATCCAATCGATATTAATCCAATTAAATAATAAATATCACACTAATTTAATATTACTAATCTTGTCAATCAAACATGTCCTACGAGTGTGGAATTGGTACTTACAAAGATAGGCCACCCTGGGGTTGCTGGGCTCAACTTCATTAGCGACCCGTAGAATCGGAGCAATCTCGACCAGTGATGATGGAACTACCTCACTATCCATCATTGTCTCCCCTAAATTCCCCGTGGTCTGAGTCCGCAAAATCCGCCTCTGCGGTTGCGGATCAGACCCCTTTCTATTGTAAGCCATTTATTCTTCAAATCCCTTTTCCTTTTACAATAACTTAAATTTCACTTCCTCTAATTAAGCCTGCAAAACCAATCAAAATTACAAAATACACTTATCATTATCAACAAACACCTCTATTTTCTACTCAAACCAAAAATACTCTGTTTGGTTCTTGAGAAAACCGACAAGTTAAAACAGAAATAGAGACTTTCCAATAAAAAAACAACTTTTCCTTTCATTTCCTTTTTTTTTTTTCTCAGCAACCAAACAGAGCAACCTAGAAGAAAATTCATAAGCAACTATAGGAAGATTAAGATTACGGTGGCTTTTACATCGAAACAGAACTCGATTCAAATTGTGTATTGGCAAAGAGAACGGCATCGAAATACAACAGACCAGAGATGAGTTGCATGTGTGTAGTGACTGAGAAGAAGACTTCAGAGTCTAGAGAGAGAGAGAGAGAGAGAGAAGGGGCAGGTGTTGCCGTGCGAAGTACCCAAGTGACATGACATGAAGGAAGCAACGCCGGGTAAAACAGCTGGAGAAGTTATTTAGTGGTACAGGAACATTGCTCCACACCACACGAAATGGAGAATTACATAATGCCCCTGTTTTGGAAACATAATTACACGGTGTACCTAAAGTTTTACTATTATTAAGGATTAATTTGCACTTTTCACCTTTCATTCAAATTTCATTTTAATTTAGTTTCTATAATTTCAATTTGATCCTCCTATTTAAATTAAAGTTAAAATTAATAATTTTAAGAAGCTTGTCAATTATGTAATATGACATGTAGTCTTATGTTATTTTTGACAACCAAACAAATTTGAGAGTTTTTTTTGATAAATCCATTTTCTAAGAGCTTTATTCCATCCAACCCATATTCTTTTTGACTATTCCATTAGGTCCAATTTGAGATAAGAAGACCAAAATACCCTTTTCATCTACTTATGTTCCATTTAGTTCACATTATTTTCTTATGTTTCAATAAGTCCTATGGGTGACATAATTACCAAAATACCCCTAATGTGAATGTTCACACCGTCAATGTAAATGTTCATATCGTCAATGTGTAGGGACCCGGCCCATGTCGATCCTCGTGGGTGCCCGAAAAAATTCGAGTCAGGCCGGGGCGGGCCCGGCCCATTGACAATGTGAATATTCACATTGACATGTCAGCATCCACATTAATAGGAGTGTAAAATTGGCCCGCGTCCCGTGGCAGCACGAAACCCGCCCGCGGCCCATGGGCGGCCTAGGGCGGGCCCGGTCCAGCTCGTTGACAATGTGAATATTCACATTGACACGTTAACATTCACATTGATAAGAGTAAAAAATTGGCCCACGGCCCGAGGCAGGGCGGGCCCGGCCCGGCCCGTTGACAATGTGAATATTCACATTGACATGTTAACATTCACATTAATAGGAGTGTAAAATTAGCCCGCGCCTCATGGCTGCCCGAAACCAGCCCACGGCCCGTGGGCGGGCCCGGCCCAACCTGTTGACATTGTGAATATTCACATTGACATGTTAACATTCACATTGATAAGAGTATAAAATTGGCCAGCGGCCCAAGGCGGGCCCGGCCCGACCCGTTGACAATGTGAATATTCATATTGACACGTTAGTATTCACATTGATAAGAGTGTAAAATTATCCCGTGCCTCGTGACTGCCCGAAACCCGTCCACAGCCAGTGGACAGCCCAGGGTGGGCCTGGCCATTTCTTTTTAATTCTTTTTAATTTTTTCTACCAAAATTTTATTATTTTCCACAAAAAAAGACACTGGGCCTCGGCGTGGGCCAGACCTCGGACCAAGCCTTAAATGGGCCTTAACCGGACCGATGGGCCTGGCCGGGCTTCAAAGTGATAGCCCAGGCCCTAGCCTAGGGTCTCGGACTAGGCTCGAGCCTGGGCCCAAACGAGCCTTTCCCGGGCCGGCCCACGGGCCAAAAAATTAGGCCCAGGCCCTAGCCCTGGCACAAGGGTATTCGGGCTTTGGACGGGCCGATGGATCGAGCCTCGGATCGGGCCGGTGGGCCTGGAACTAGCCTCGAGTTTAGGTCGGGCTTGAGCGGGCCTAGCCATTTTTTTTTTAATTCTTTTTAATTTTTTCTACCAAAATTTTATTATTTTCCACAAAAAAATACATTGCGCCTCGGGCGAGCTAGGCCTCGGACCAAGCCTTGAATGGGCCTTAGGTGGGCTGATGGGCCGGGCCGGGCTTCAAAGTGATGACCTAGGCCCTAACCTAGGGTCTCGGACATGCTCGGGCTCGGACTGAAACGAGCCTGCCCCGGGCCATGGGCGGGCTTCGGGCAGCCCACAGGCGGCAGGCCAATTCTACATTCCTATCAATGTGCATTTTAACATGTCAATGTGAATATTCACATTGTCAACGGGTCGGGCCAGGCCTACCTCAGGCCGTGGGCAAGCTTCAGGCAACGGGCAAATTTTACACTCCTATCAATGCTAATGTTAACATGTCAATGTGAATATTCACATTGTCACAGGTCGAGCCAAGCCCACCTCGGGCTACGGTCGGGCTTCGGGCCGTCCACGGGCTGCGGGCCAATTTTACACTCTTATCAATGTAAATGTTAACATGTCAATGTGAATATTCACATTGTCAACGGGCCGGGTCAGGCCGGCCCTGGGCCGCTGGCCAATTTTATACTCCTATCAATGTGAATGTTAACATGTCAATGTGAATATTCACATTGTCAACAGGCCGGGCTGGGCCCGTCCCGAGCCGCCCATGGGCCGTGAGCGGGTTTCGGGCAGCCACGAGGCGCGGGTTAATTTTACATTCCTATCAATGTGAATGTTAACATGTCAATGTGAATATTCACATTGTCAACGAGCCGGGCCGAGCCTACCCCGGGCGGCTGGCGGGCTTTTGGTCGCCCATGGGCTGCGAGCCAATTTTATACTCTTATCAATGTGAATGTTAACATGTCAATGTGAATATTCACATTGTCAACAAGCCGGGCCGGGCCCGCCCCGGGCTGCCCATGGGCCATGGACGGGTTTCGGGCAGCCACGAGGCGCGGGCTAATTTTACACTCCTATCAATGTGAATGTTAAAATGTCAATGTGAATATTCACATTGTCAACGGGCCGGGTCGGGCCAGCCTTGGGCCGCTGGCCAATTTTATACTCCTATCAATGTGAATGTTAACATGTCAATGTGAATATTCACATTGTCAACGGGCCGGGTCGGGCCCGCCCTGGGCCACTAGCCAATTTTATACTCTTATGAATGTGAATGTTAACATGTCAATGTGAATATTCACATTGTCAACAGGCCGGGCCGGGCCCGTCCCGGGCCGCCCATGGGCTGTGGGCGAGTTTCGGGCAACCACGAGATGCGGGCTAATTTTACACTCCTATCAATGTGAATGTTAACATGTCAATTTGAATATTCACATTGTCAACGGGCCGGGCCGGGCCCGCCCCGGGCGGGGGACGGGCTTTTGGTCGCCTATGGGCTGCGGGCCAATTTTATACTCTTATCAATATGAATGTTAACATGTCAATGTGAATATTCACATTGTCAATGGGCCGGACCAGGCCCGCCCCGGGCCGCCCATGGGCCGCGGGCGGGTTTCGCGCCGTCACGGGACAGGGGCCAATTTTACGCTCCTATTAATGTGAATGTTAACATGTCAATGTTAATATTCACATTGTCAACGGGCCGGGCCGGGCCCGCCCCGGGCGGGGGACGGGCTTTTGGTCGCCTATGGGCTGCGGGCCAATTTTATACTCTTATCAATATGAATGTTAACATGTCAATGTGAATATTCACATTGTCAACGGGTCGGATCGGGCCCGCCCTGGGCCGCTCATGGGCCGCGGGCGGGTTTCGCGCCGCCACGGGACGCGGGCCAATTTTACACTCCTATTAATGTAAATGTTAACATGTCAATGTGAATATTCACATTGTCAACGGGTCGGATCGGGCCCGCCCTGGGCCGCTCATGGGCCGCGGGCGGGTTTCGCGCCGCCACAGGACACGGGCCAATTTTACACTCCTATTAATGTGAATGTTAACATGTCAATGTGAACATTCACATTGTCAACGGGCCAGGCCGGGCCTACCCCGGGCCGCGGGCGAGCTTCGGGTAGCAGACAAATTTTACACTCCTATCAATGTTAATGTTAACATGTCAATGTGAATATTCACATTGACATGTTAACATTTACATTGATAGGAGTGTAAAATTTGCCCGCTGCCCGAAGCTTGCCCGCGGCCCGGGGTA